TTTTTTTCTTGAGGAGTCTCGCTAATGGTTTATCAATATTGTTTATCTTCTCAAAGAACCAGCTTTTAGTTTTCTTGATCTTTGCTATTGTTTCCTTCATTTATTTTTCATTTATTTCTGATCTGATCTTTATGATTTCTTTTCTTCTGCTGACTTTGGGGTTTTTTTGTTCTTCTTTCTCTAATTGCTTTAAGTGTATATTTCGGTTGTTTATTTGAGATTTTTCTTGTTTCTTTTTTTTTTTTGCGGTACGCGGGCCTCTCACTGTTGTGGCCTCTCCCATTGCGGAGCACAGGCTCCTGACGCACAGGCTCAGCGGCCATGGCTCACGGGCCTAGCCGCTCCGCGGCGTGCGGGATCTTCCTGGACCGGGGCATGAACCCGCATCCCCTGCATCGGAAGGCGGACTCTCAACCACTGCGCCACCAGGGAAGCCCTAGATTTTTCTTGTTTCTTGAGGTAGGATTGTATTGCTGTAAACTTCCCTTTTAGAACTGCTTTTGCTGCATCCCATAGGTTTTGGGTCATCGTGTTTTCATTGTCATTTGTCTCTAGGTATTTTTTTATTTCCTCTTTGTTTCTTCAGTGATCTCTCGGTTATTCAGTAACGTATTGTTTAGCCTCCATGTGTTTGTATTTTATACAGTATTTTTTTCCTGGAATTGAGATTTAGTCTCATAGCGTTGTGGTAGGAAAAGATACTTGATAAGATTTCAATTTTCTTAAATTTACCAAGGCTTGATTTGTGACCCGAGATACGATCTATCCTGGAGAATGTTCCATGAGCACTTCAGAAGAAAGTGTATTCTGTTGTTTTTGGATGGAATGTCCTATAAATATCAATTAAGTCCATCCTGTCTAATGTGTCATTTAAAGCTTATGCTTCCTTATTTATTTCCATTTTGGATGATATGTCCATTGGTGAAAGTGGGGTGTTAAAGTCCCCTACTATGACTGTGTTACTGTTGATTTCCCCTTTTATGGCTGTTAGCATTTGCCTTATGTGTTGAGGTGCTCCTCTTTTGGGTGCATAAATATTCACAATTGCTATATCTTCTTCTTGGTTTGATCCCTTGATCATTATGTAGTGTCCTTCTTTGTCTCTTGTAACATTCTTTATTTTAAAGTCTATTTTATCTGATATGAGAATTGCTACTCCAGCTTTCTTTTGATTTCCATTTGCATGGATTATCTTTTTCCATCCCCTCACTTTCAGTCTGTAGGTGTCCCTAGGTCTTAAGTGGGTCTCTTGTAGATAGCATATATATGGGTCTTGTTTTTGTATCCATTCAGCCAGTCTGTGTCTTTTGATTGGAGCATTTAATCCATTTACATTTAAGGTAGTTATGGATATGTATGTTCCTATTACCATTTTCTTAATTGTTTTGGGTTTGTTATTGTAGGTCTTTTCCTTCTCTTGTGTTTCCTGCCTAGAGAAGTTCCTTTAGCATTTGTTGTAAAGCTGGTTTGGTGGTGCTGAATTCTCTTAGCTTTTGCTTGTCTGTAAAGGTTTTAATTTCTCTGTTGAATCTGAATGAGATACTTGCTGGGTAGAGTAGTCTTGGTTGTAGGTTTTTCCCTTTTGTCACTTTAAATATGTCCTGACACTCCCTTCTGGTTTGCAGAGTTTCTGCTGAAAGATCAGCTGTTAACCTTATGGGGATTCCCTTATATGTTATTTGTTGCTTTTCCCTTGCTGCTTTTAATGTTTTTTCTTTGTATTTAATTTTTGATAGTTTGATTAATATGTGTCTTGGCATGTTTGTCCTTGGATTTATCCTGTATGGGACTCTGTGCTTCCTGGACTTGATTGACTATTTCCTTTCCCATGTTAGGGAAGTTTTCAACTATAATATCTTCAAATATTTTCTCAGACCCTTTCTTTTTCTCTTCTTCTTCTGGGACCCCTATAATTCGAATGTTGGTGCGTTTAATGTTGTCCCAGAGTTCTCTGAGAATGTCCTCGGCTCTTTTCATTCTTTTTTCTTTATTCTCCTCTGCAGTAGTTATTTCCACTATTTTATCTTCCAGGTCACTTATCCATTCTTCTGCCTCAGTTATTCTGCTATTGATTCCTTCTACAGAATTTTAAATTTCATTTATTGTGTTGTTCATCATTGTTTATTTGCTGTTTAGTTCTTCTAGGTCCTTGTTAAACATTTCTTGTATTTTCTCCATTCTATTTCCAAGACTTGGATCGTATTTATATAATTACTCTGAATTCTTTTTCAGGTAGACTGAGTATTTCCTTTTCATTTGTTTGGTCTGGTGGGTTTTTACCTTGCTCCTTCATCTGCTGCATTTCTCTGTCTTCTCATTTTGTTTAACTTACGGTGTTTGACGTCTCCTTTTTTGCAGGCTGCAGGTTTGTGGTTCCCATTGTTTTTGATGTCTACCCCCAGTGGGTGAGGTTAGTTCAGTGGCTTGTGAGGGCTTCCTGGTAGAGGGGACTGGTGCCTGTGTTCTGGTAGGTGGGGTGTGTCTAGTGGTGTGTTTGGGGGTGTCTGTGAACTTAGTATGATTTTAGGCAGCCTCTCTGCTAATGGGTAGGGTTGTGTTCTTGCTAGTTTTTTGGCATAGGGTGTTCAGCACTGGAGCTTCCTGGCTGTTGGGTGGAGCTGGGTCTTAGCATTGAGATGGAGATTTCTGGGAGAGCTCTCACTGATTGATATTACTTGGGACCATGAGGTCTCTGGTGGTGCAATGTCCTGAACTCAGCTCTCTCATCTCACAGGCTCAGGCCTGACACCAGGCTGGAGCACCAAGACCCTGTCAGGCACACGGCTTACAGGAGTTTTCACATCCCCCTGTAGTCAGAGCCAGGAGCATTCCAGTTGGCTGGCATCTTCCCCCTGGGCCTCAGCGTCCGGGGTCTCTTGCTGACAACTCCACTCTTCCCAGGAACCAGAGGTCAGGTGGGTGCCTGTGGACTCAAGCAGAGCTTCTGGGGCTGGAAGGAAGATCCTACAGCCTTCACTATGAGATCTGTCCCAGGGGCTCCACAGAGACTCCAAGAAACCCTCCCCGGGTCCCCATCAGCTCCTCATCCCTCCAGCAAGGAGCCCTGGGATCCTCTTGACAACAACTATTAACCATGGCTGAGAACTGCAGCAGTTTCTGGTCCTAAATAGCTTTTGATTTTGTTGATTTTTTTTTCTCTGTCAGTCTTTGGTTTTCTACTTGATTGATTTCAACTCCTATAAATTCTCCTTTTTTCTGATTAATTTGGGCTTAACGTTCTTAAGGTGGGAGCAGAAATCATTGATATGAGATCTTTTTTCTGATATATAGGTGTTTTGTGCCATATATTTCCCCCATATACTGTTTTAGCATCTTTCCATACATTTTTATATTGTCATATTCTTTCTCTACGAAATACATTCTAATTTCTTTTGATTTCTTCTTTGATCAATGGGTTGTTTAGAATTGTATTACTTGGGGTTAGGGATTTTTTTCAGACATTTCTGTTGTTAATCTCTAATTTAATTCCATTGTGGTTAGATAACTTTCTTTTTATGTACTAAATTCTTTTAAGCTTTTGGGGACTAGTTTTCTGATCCAGAAACTGGTCTATTTCAATAAATGTTCATTGTGAACTTAAGAATTATGTTCATTCTGCTGTTGTAGGGTGGAATATTCTAGAAATGTCAATTAAGTCAATTTGGTTGATAGTGTTATTCAAGCCTTCTTTATCCTTATTGATTTTCTATCTGCTTATTCTATCAGTTATCAAAGAGAGATATTAAATCTCTGACTCTAGTTGTGAATTTGTCTATTTCTTCTTGCAGATCTATCTGATTTGGCTTATGTATCTTGAAGCTTTTTTTAAAAAAACAAATTAGGTGTAAAAGTGTTAGAATTATTTACCTGATGACCTAAACCCTTTGTTTTAAGATGACTTTCTCTGTCCCTGGTATTATTCTTTATTGTAGAAGTTAATACAACCACTTTAGCTTTCTTTTGATTAGTGTTAGCACGGTATATCTTATTCTATTCTATTTTTACCTATTCGTATCTTTGTATTTAAAGTGCATGGCTTGTAGGCATCACATAGTTGGGTCTTGTTTTTTAATCCAATCTGATGATCTCTTTAGTTTAATTGGAGATGTTTACACCATTTATGTTTAATGCTCTGATGGACATGGTTAGGTTTAAGTCTATAATATTGCTATTTGCTTTCTGTTTATTCCATCTATTCTGTATTCCCTTTTACTTTTTTCTTTTTTATGGTTAGAGTATCTTTTTTATAATTCCATTTAATCTCCTTTCTTGGCTTATTAGCTATATTTTAAAATTTTGCTATTTTAGAGGTTGCTTTAGGATTTATAGCATGCATATTTTCCTGGCATATTGTAGATGCTCAATAAATATCTACTGAATGAAAAAATGAATGCCCTGGTGCCCAGACCAAAGGGCTGCTGAGAGCCAGAGGCATCAAGAAAGGCCATCAGTACTGTGTTTTTATCAGACACAGCACAGTTCATTCTTTGCCAGCTTTTATTTTCCTTTTTCACACCGTGTTAGTATGGATATTGGCTTTTCTCCCTCCAGTCTTGATGTTAGTCTCTCAAGGTTAGGGGATTTGTGTCCTCCTCTCCTCTGCCCCCTTAATGTTTTAACAAATAGATACTTTACCCTTAGGTGGTGCTTTCTGCAGGCTTTTTTGAAAGTGTGGGTTGGACCCTCAGGATGAAAGAGGCTGTGGCCTTGACTTATCATGGCCAAACCCCAAAAGTAATATCCTTATCAGGAAGAACAGATATTTTTTAAGGTATTGGATAGGAAAAAAAAAAAAACTTCAAAGAAATGGTCTAAATTTAAGATTAGCTGATCTAAGCAAAGCTACACATGGAAAGGAAATTCAGACCTAACAGATTTTTCCCATTCTTGGAGTGCCACCAGTTATTTCAAGTCTCTTGAAATATCTTGGAAAAAAATCACTGAGCTTCCTGATTAAAAAAGAAAAATTTATGCTCTGTTTTTCTTGTTTTCTTTTCCAGCAAGTAACTGGCAGAAGTTTTGGTGATAAAGATTTTCGGACAGGGTTAGAAAATGGAATCCTTCTCTGCGAGTAAGTATAGCCTATATTCAGTTGGTTTTATTCAAGAAAAATCATTAATGCTATTCAGTTTGTCTGAAAAACTTCTAGTGTTTGTTTTGAATTTATTCACAGTTTGAATCTGAAATTCAAAAACAAATCACTTAGGTGGGTTAGGCAGTAAAGATAAGTAGCCTTGGGGCAGTAGGGAGTGGTGGGGACCTTGGCAATTTCAAATTAGTTAAAGAAGGAATATCTGGTAGCTGCTACTCAGTTCCAACCAACTTTTACAATGTAGGAATTCAGGCCCAAGTAATTGGAAGGTTGTGGACCAAGTTTTGGTAAAAAAAAGCAGCTTTTCTCCCCTTATTCCCTCCAAACAAAAACAGCTTGTGCCAAGTAAAAGCAGGGCTTTCTATTTACTGACAACATCTTGAAACATGCCAGGCAATCTTCCTCACTAGGCCTACTTCCCTGAGGTATTTTGAATATATTTAATTTGTGCTGTTGACAAAATAACTGCAGTGTTCAATTTTTGTGTTTTGAACCTGGGCTTTGTCATAGAGTGCTCCTGTGATGATGGATTCAAGGGCTTTCTGTGAAGTGCTTCCAGACACAAAATAAGCTAGAGCCTTAATACTTATAGAGGGATGGACATAAACTTCAAATCAAGATTTTGTATTTTGAATTCATTTGATAGGTTCTGTCATTTGGATAACTGATTTTTGTTTTATTGAGTTGAAATGTACATGCATGAAATGCACAGCTCCTAGATATACAACCCAGTGGATTTTGTAAACTGTGTACATTCATGTAACCTACACCCTGAGCAAAATATAGAGCACAAAGCTCTCTCAAGTCCCTTCCCGGTCAATGTCAACCACCTATAGAAAAGCACTGTTTTGATTTCTATCACCATAGCATCTATTTTGCCTTATCCTGAACTTTATGTAAATGGAATCACATAGAATGCACTCTTACCTTGGGACTTGCAGAATATTGTTTGAGATCCACCGAAGTAGTTGAAAGAGCAGGGGTTTTGGAGCCTGAGCTATAGAGGCTCAAATCCTTTCTTCACTCCTTAAATCATATAACCTCCTTGAGTCTCATTTGTTTCTCTTTAAAGGGGTAGTAAAAAGTTTACAACTCCTGCCTATTTCATAAGTTTTTCGTGAATTTCAAGAGGATAATGTGGATAAGGTGCTTTAAAAAATTACATTTGCTGTACAAATGTTGATTATTATGCAGCAATTTTCAACATAGTTCATGTCAGTGTTTATTTTTTCTGCTCTCCACTGCCTTTCTTTCTTCAAAGAGAAATTTACGTCCCCTGATTTCTTCCTTTTGTTTTTTTAAATAAATTTATTTATTTTTGGCTGCGTTAGGTCTTTGTTGCTGCACGCAGGCTTTCTCTAGTTGCAGCGAGCGGAGGCTACTCTTTGTTGTGGTGCACGGGTTTCTCACTGCGGTGGCTTCTCTTGTTGCGGAGCACGGGCTCTAGGTGCGCGGGCTTCAGTAGTCGTGGTACGCGGGCTCAGTAGTCGTGGCTCACAGGTTCTAGAGAGCAGGCTCAGTAGTTGTGGCGCACAGGCTTAGTTGCTTTGCGGCATGTGGGATCTTCCCAGAAGATCCCCCTGCATTGGCAGGTGGATTCTTAACCACTATGCCACCAGGGAAGCCTGTACACCCCCTGATTTCTGTTTCCATACCTTCTTTCCTGTGGAGTCTCTCCCCTCTTCTCATACTTTACTTTCCTCACCACCTCTTCTCCCTTTATTAAATCTAAATCAGAGCTCATCTCTTAGGTAAACCATAATTAGTTTAGCATCTCACGGAGACAAACTCAGACAGGCTCTAAATACTTCTCTTGTGTTCTAGCATCTGCTCCTCCAATGATTCTGGGCTTAGCCCTCTCCTGATGTTAACAGATGAGCCAGAATCTGATGTAATTTATGTGCATCATGCTCTCTTAAGTCTGTTGAAGTGGGTCTTTGGTACCAACTTTTGTTTTCCTAACATTAGCTCCAAAGATTCTTATAGGCGTCCACCTCTCCATCATATGAGTAAATCTGTTATAGAATAATATCGCTTGCCTCCCTTTGGATTAGGTAGGCTTGTCTGAAGACAAGGCTTTGGATCCAGAGACATCTGCCCACATGGACTTTGTTTCTTACCCAGTTGATGCTGAGTTGGAGGATGGAGTCTCTCGTGTGGAGTGGCACGAACTGTTGGCCTTTTACAAACACATTAATGAATGGGTTGTTGAGAGGTGGAGAGGTGGGTTTAGGTCCAGACCATGGTTAGGAAATAGTATGGTTAGACAGCATGGAGGCACAGATTATAGCCAGGAGCCTCTTTAAATAAATAAAGGGTTTTGACTGCTGACAGCCTGCGGGTGAGCTGAGGGAAATGGCCAACACAGAGGATGTGGACAAATGTTACTGTCTAGGTAGGTAGGATAAAACCCAGGACAAGTGAGTTATTGTTTAACTCCTCTAACCACAGAGGATTAGACCCCCTGGCGTATTTGAAGGAGTCTGAGGACCAGGGTCAAGTCCTGGCTTCCCCGTGGGACTCCCTCTGGCAGTCCTGGTGCAGAGTTTGTGAAGGTGGAATGAACTGCACTGGTGTCCTGAAAGCCAGCAGCGTGAGTCCCAGCCGAGCCTTGGAGAGAAGGCTGGGACAGCAGCCAGACCAACAAGATGCAGACAGAGTTCTAAGTGCAGGGCCCACAGCACAATGAGAGACAGAAGTAAGACTCAGGAGCAGAATGCACTGAAGGTCGGGACAGTGGAAGGAGAAGATCTCCCTCTCCTTTTTGTCAGGGATGGGGGCGTGGCTAAGTGTGATCTGAACCAGAGCGTATTGGGCTGCTGCAGACTGAGATTAGCAAGGACTCGTATCCAGAGACTAATCTGACAAGGAGGGGGACTTGCACTGTTCCAGGCATGGGGTGGGCTGATGGTAGGGCCTGAAAGGCAGGAAACCCAGTTTGGAGAGTCTCAGGAAAGTGAGGGTTCTCTTTGGAGAGTAGATGAGAATACCTAAGGCTGTGCCACGCTCTAGAACCAGAGAGGGTTTTGTGGATGCTGGTGATTGAGAAGTTCTAACTCTCAACCACCACCCATGTAGCAATACTTGAAAACATAAGAACTCTCTATATTTTCAAATTTTGAAAACTGGCAGTTCACTTCTTCTGAGTTGGATTGGCTCTAAATGTTGGTCGCAATCGTGGAGAAACACCACGCTGTTTGTTCACTGAAAATGTCCTGGTTCGTAGAGAATGGACTTGAGAACACGGGGAGGGGGAAAGTAAGCTGGGACGAAGTGAGAGAGTGGCATGGACTTATATATACTACCAAACGTAAAATAGATAGCTAGTGGGAAGCAGCCGCATAACACAGGGAGATCAGCTCGGTGCTTTGTGACCACCTAGAGGGATGGGATGGGGAGGGTGGGAGGGAGATGCAAGAGGGAGGAGATATGGGGATATACGTATAGCTGATTCACTTTGTTATAAAGCAGAAACTAACACACCACTGTAAAGCAATTATACCCCAGTAAAGATGTTAAAAAAAATATCGTGGTTGTTTATGAGTCTGAAAAAAACCTCACAGTTCTTCTCAAACAGAAGGGCATATTCTGGGCCTGGGGTCTGGTTTTCCTCTTGCCAGCCCGATTCTAAACTTACCTGTGGCCTACAAGGACTATTATGATACCCATTTTTCAGAGCAAGTAACTGAGGTACAGAGATTAAATAACTAGGCTAAGGTTGTACCAGATGAGAAAGATTTAAATTCAGAAGTCTGATTCCTTTGCTTTTGCTCTTAATCATTGTCCTGTGTCCAGAGTTGGGATTTTAATGGGAGAGAAAAGCAAGAGGTTGGGTGGTGGCGGTGGGATGGAGTTGGTGCCGGAAAACCTAGAGTTTGGGGAGAAATGCAGTACAGAGGGTAACCACGGCGTCTCAGCTGGACAGAGGAAGAAGGAGGACTGTGTGGGGTTGGTGGTCTTGGAAAAATATAAGCATCAAGGGCCTGGTGGACCCTCTTAAGACAAGAAGGCAAGTCCAGTGAGAGGGAGGGTGTGAGAGAGCTGAGGGGGTAGGAGGCTATGGTCGGCGGACAGTGTAGGGGTTTCAGTATTCTTAGGTAAGACCTGTCCAAACTTGATGGTGACAAATGAGGTTGGTGGACCTGTACTAAAGACTACAGAGATAGGAGAGAGAAAAGACTGGCACCTCCAGGCAGCACATAAGATGGAAATTGAGTAGCCGCAGAATCGCCCTGGGAGCTCTTTTACTTCGCCTATGAAATGCAGCACACTTGCCCTTGCACATATACCCCCGAAAACAGTAATACTTGTGCATAAATGTATAACTAATGGCAAGAATAAAATAGAGTGCCTGTGCCAGATAGAATTATAGTAGATGTATTTTTGCTCTGTCTCTCTCTTCCTCTGTTGTTTTTGCCAAGTGTGTGTAGTTGAAGTTTGGAGGTTAAGTGCTCAAACGCTGTGAGCTCTCCGCTGAGCATTAACTAAATGGCCTGGGGTCAAAGTTTGACAAAGCTGCAAATGTGTGACAAGTGTCATGCTTTTAGAAATGTTAAATGAATACCGCATTGTGTACTTGGGGACTTAAGAATTTAAAAGAAAGGCTACAAAGACTATTCCCTAAGGAAGCCACTCCCAGTATGGAGCCAGTAATGACTGTCATCTAGTTCCCTGAACCCAGATCAGAGAGACTGTTGTGAAATATTCCAGAAAGGAAAGTTTCTGACTTGTTTTCCTAAGACTTTAGTATATAGATAGAACGCTATGGAATTCCATCTGTATCAGGAGTTGGCAAATTCTGGCCCATGTCCTGTTTTTGTGCAGGCCTTCCTTCTTGCTAAGAACGGTTTTTACATTCTAAAAGAGTTGTAAACAACAAAACAAAACAAATCGAAACAAAGCAAGAGTTTGTATGGGGCTCACAGAGCCTAAAAATGTTTACTACCTGTTGGTCCTTTACAGAAAGAGTTTGCCAGCCC